TCTAACCGGTTCGGTAGATTTGACGAACCGGTTCTACCGAATAGGTGCGAACTGGTAGGAACCCACCTCTGGTGATGACCAATACTGGATGCAGTATTCCAGGTGTGGTGTTACTAGGGTTTTATAAAGTGGTACTAGTACTTCATGTGATCTTGATTCTATGCCTCTGTTTATACAATCCAGGATTGTATTAGCTTTTTTGGCTGCTGCCACACACTGCTGGCTCATATTCAAGTGATCATCCACTAGGACTCCAAGGTCCCTTTCACAGTTACTATTTTTGAACCAGGTCTCACCTAATCTGTACTGATATCTTTGATTTTTCCTACCTAAATGTAAAAGTTTGCTTTTCTCCACATTGAAATTCAAACCATAACCCAAACCATAAACCTAACCCTAGCTTACCAAGAGAAGCAGGTTGTGGTCTACTTTGTCAAATGCCTTACTGAAATCTACGTGTACTTGAAGGTATGCACTGCTATACAAATATATATGACTAGGGTTGTCTTGTTTCATTTTCTACCTCAGTGCCAGACCACAGGACTTCAGATTCTGTGGTATGGGCTTGGTGGTCTCTGAAGATTGGCAAAGCATCAAAAATTTTGAGAAAGCTCTAAAGAAACCCCCAAGCTGAGAACTTTTGGAATGTTGTAAAGACACTGTGTTTTGTTAAATCTGATAAGGAAAAAAATAATGGTGTTTCAAAATATGAGAAACTTTAAGTGAAATTTCCATGAGTAACAAAGAATCTTGTGCTACAATAAAGCATAAAATATTTATTATGGCCATTAATAATGGATCAGGCATGAGATCAGGTGAAGGGGTGAAGATTGTGTCCTGTTTTTGTTGTGCAGTCAGTTTTTGTTGTGCTCTTGAATTTCTCTAGTTTCTCTACACATCTGATCTGATCAATCCCAAGGGAAGATGTATGAGACAATTCTGCTCACAGAGCTTTTTCAACTCAGGAAACAGGCAGACAGGAAGCTGCAGAGCAATGGAGTGTTGTAGAGGGGAAAAAACCAAAACCAAAAAGGAAGTTGCACCCACTTTTATCCTTAAGCTAGGAATAGAAACATCACAAAGACAACCTTGCAGGGTGGGGGATGACTTCTATGTGAAAAAGAGTTAGAATGACAAAAGTTTTGAAACTGATTTTCAAAAGTTTTTTTCCCCTTTAAATAAATAAATTAGATTGTAGCATTAGAAACATTAGGTTTTATCCTCAAAATTAAATGGTTTGAATTATAGCCAGATGCCACATTGAAACGCATGCATGCAATTAACTCAGATTTTTAAAAAGAAAAATGCAATAAATATAACGATAACAATGCCAACAATAAAGCAATGATACTCAACTGATGCATTTTGCTATATTAGAGCCAAGTCTGGAATAGCATCCTTGCAAAATATTAACTTGTCTTCAAAACTGGCACTGATTTCTCTGGATTTGGTTGCTGCCATGATTGATGAGGCAGCAAGCACAGTGCCTGAGAAAGAAAAGAAAGACATCTCATATTCTGTTGTATCTGAACTTTAGGTCCTCTAGGGAGGGAGGCAGCCTATTTCTGCTGCCTATCAACTTACTCAATATGAGTTTTCATGTAAAAAACATCAGTAGCACCAGAACCTCAACAAATCAAACAATGGAAAATGAATCCGACAACATATGTAAATGCATAGGCTTTCACTGCATAAATGCAGACTGTGAAATGTTGAGGGTGAACAAAGGCAGAGAATGCTAATAAAATAGATTCTAAAAATAAAACCAAAATAAAGGATGAAGCTTTCATCTTGAAGCCTCTAAGATACAGGAGAAAAGGTCAGAAGAATTTGATTTCCCATTTCTAAACTTTGAGAGTTTGCATCACAATTTTCTGTCCGTATTTTTTATTTGCTGTCAAAATCCATGCCTTTGTTATTTTGTACAAACTGAAGAGGGATTTCTGAACATTAGAGATCCCTCAGTTAATCCACAGACCTCGGGGTCTTCAGAAGGAATTATTTAAATCAGTAGTCACCTACTGCTAGTCCGTGGACCACTGGTGGTCTGCTAGAAAATTTTGGTGGTCTGCAGAAAAATTATTTGCATTTTTATATTGCACTAAATACTATTTATCTTTTTTTAAAAAAAAATCCATATTAGTAATCCACGGGATTTAAAATTAAGAATTTAGTGGTCCCTGAGGTCTGAAAGGTTGGTGACACCTGATTTAAATTAGTTTAAAGGGTGCAGAGGGTCAAAATACAGATGGACTTGCAAATCATTGCCTTAAATCAGCATTGAGATACTAATATATATTACTTTTAAAAACTTTACTTCTGCTTTTTATTTGTACTTGCTCAAGTGTTCTGACTTTACTTAAATTAGTAGCCACAAGGCCACATGGTTTGAAGCGTTCCTTAGCACACACCTGATTAGAGAGTCCTCAGTCAGATTCAATGGGTCAACCAGAGGATGTTCCCAGTGCTTTCAGAAGGTAACTACGGATTCTACTCAAGTTAATTATTATGGTGCCATTATATGGCTTAATTCATCCAAAATGAAGCATCCAAAATATAATTACAAGCATAATGCTTGGCAAGTAAATGCATAGTAAACATGAGGGGAACAATTAGCATCTATCTAAAAGATACATTTATATATAAATCTTTTAAGCTTCATTACTTAAAATGGTGCAATAAGCAATGTTCTTGGCTTATATCTGTTCTTCCCAACAATAAAAACAGCTTGAAAGGATTGCTGTTTTCCACTGAGAAAGAGAGGTTGCAATCCCCGGAAGTGCATTTGTATAACTATATATGTGATTGTAAAGAGAGAATTGGATATAGCTGGGGAGCAGGATGAATATCAAGACAATCACACAAATGATTCAATGGGGAGAGGGAGTTAGGGCATGACAATGTGCCTATTAAGTAGCCCATAGGGTTGGATTCCATAAGGCTTTCAACAAAATAGATCACAACCTACTTCTTGGTAAAAAAAAGTGAAAAAAGTGGAATAGATAGCATCACCACCAGATGGATTTGTAACTGGCTGATAAACCATACTCAATGAGTAGTCCTTAATGGTACTACATCTACGTGGAGAGAAGTAGGAGTAGGTTACTTCCATCTTAGGCCCAGCACTCTTCAATATCTTCATATATGACTTAGATGAGGGAATAGAAGGAGAACTTACCAAATTTGGAAATGATACTAAGCTGGCAGGAATAGCCAACACCCTAGATCAGAGGTGTCAAACCTGATTGCATCATAGGCCGTATTGGGATATATCTAGATGTTTTTTTGACTTTGCGGAACTGGGATGGATGTGGCTTCCACAGGCTGTATACAGCCTGTGGGCCACCAGTTTGACAGGCCTGCCCTAGATGATTGGCTCAAAATCCAGATGGATCTTGACAGACTTGAACACTGGGGCCTCTCTAACAAATGAAATTCAATGCAGAGAAAAGTGAAAACTTATGCAAGAAAAACCAAAAATAAATATACAGATTAGGTGAAACCTGGCTTAATAGCAGTAACTGAGAGGGATCTTGGAATCATAGTGGACAATCAACTAAATATGAACCAGTAGTGTGCGGTAGCAGCCAAAAAAGCCAATGCAATCCTAAATGGCATTAACAGAGGAATGGCATCAAGATTACATGAGATACTAGTATAAAGCCTTGGTAAGGCCACACCTAGACTACTGCATCTAGTTTTGGTTGCCAAACTATAAAAAAGATGTTGAGAGTGCAGAGAAGAGCAATCAAGATGATTAGGGGCCTGGAGGCTAAAACATATGAAAATGGTAAAAAGATCTGGGCATGGCTTGTCTAGTGAAGAGAAGGACTAGGGATGACATGATAGCAGTGTTCCAATATTTGAGAGGCTGTCACAGGGAGGAGGGAGACAACCTATTTGTCAGAACCTCTCCATTAGATAATTAGGAAAGAAAACCACGAGACTCCATGTGTAGAAATCAAGTGTACTTTTACTAATTATAAATGATTAAAGGCATAGCGNTGGATAAACAATCCAACAGTTCAAATAACATGCTGAGAAAAAAGGAAACATCTGTTCCTCTGCTGAAAATCTCAGATTTTAGCAGCAATGATATGTTTTATGCTCATTAATACTACAGTTTTTAAAACAACGTATTTTGGTTTTAAAAATCATGTGGGGAAATGCTTAATGATTGGCTTTTTATTCACGATTTAGGAATGACTAATTAACAGTAAAGCTGAGAAGAAAACATATTTTAGAAGTAACAGCATCTGTTTCTTATAATGGGTACTAGTTCTCTTTTCCCTTATTTTCTAGTAATGTTTGGTTTCTGACTCCTTTTTTTAACAATATAACTTTTTAAATATCTGGTATTTATAAAATCTTTAGATAGTTGTAGAAGAATTCCTAGAAGATATAAACAATATTTTGAATTCTGGAGAGGTACCTAATCTGTTTGAAAAGGATGAGCTGGAGTTTGTCATGGCAGCTACTCGACCCAAGGCAAAAGAAGTAGGAATAGCAGAGGGCAACAGAGATGAGGTAAGATAAATACTGCTTTACATGTATAATTTAAATCCATGTTTACTATAGATATTTAAATGTATCAGCAATTTATAGGAATTAGAGAGGTATATAAGTAGTCCTTGACTTACAACCATTCATTTAGGGACCATTGAAAAATTTCAATGGCAGTGACTTATGACCGTTTTTCATACTTGCACCCATTGCAACACCCCCATAGTCACATCAAAATTCAGGCACTTGGCAAATGACATGTATTTATGACAGTTGCACTATACCAAAGTCATGTGATCACCATTTGTAAACTTCCCAGCTAGTTTTGACAAATAATGGGAATTCGCTTCATGACCACATGCTTCACTTAACAACTGTGACAAAAAGGTCATAAAATGGGGTAAAACTTAACAACTGCCTTGCTTACCAATGAAAAGTTTGGCCTCAGTTGTCACTGTAAGCCCAGGACTGTAAGTCCTGTATTTAAATCACTTAGACCCGGGATGGCGAACCTATGCCATGCGGAGCCATTTGTCAGGGCACGCAAGGCGCTGCCCTGTCAGAGGGCCAGCTGAGTTAACCCTTTTTTAAAGCCATTTTTCGCCCTCCCCAGGCTCCAGAGGTTTTATAGGAGCCTGGGGAGGGCAAAAAGAGGCTCCCCCCCCCCGGAAGCCCTCCGGAGGCTTCATGAGCTTCCTTGAAGCCTCCGGAGTGCAAAAAAATGGCCCTATGGGCAAACCGGAAGTTCAGGAATGGACTTCCGGTTTGCTCAGAGGGTCGTTTTAAGTGCTCCGGAGGCTTCAGGGAAGCCTCCTGAAGGTCCCTAAAGCCTCTGGAGCGCTCAAAACAACCCTCCAAGCAAACTGGAAGTCACTTCTGGTTTGCTCGTAGGGTCTTTTTTTGCCCTCCGGAGGCTTCCTGAAGCCTCCAGAGGGCCTCTGGGTGGGAGGCTTTTTTCGCCCTCCCCAGGCTCTTATAAAGCTTCTGGAGCCTGGGGAGGGCGAAAAAAGGATGCAAAAATGGGGGGTCACACCTGTAGTGTGCACATGCGCACTGGGTAGGTCGTGCATTGTATTATGGGTGCGGCATGCCCACGCATGACCCCCTGCACTCCCCCCACTTATGGCATGCGAGCCAAAAAAGGTTCGCCATCACTGACTTAGACTAACGCTTCTTGTAATATATCATTCTCAGTAACACAAACTGTCTAAAAAATGGATGATGTCAATGATACTAATAATTATGTTTACTTTCAATCTCCAAATTATAACTTGTCTTTTCTCAGGTTTTTCAGTACTTCATTAATCGAGTCCGACAGAAGCTACACGTTGTCCTGTGTATGAGTCCTGTTGGAGATGCTTTCCGAGCACGGTGCCGAATGTTTCCCTCCCTTGTGAATTGCTGCACGATTGACTGGTTTGTGCAGGTAAATAATTCATTAAAGAATGTTGATAAGATGTTCAATAATTCATGAATCTACTTCAAGGATTGCTACTTTCCCATCAAGTTTACTTTTTTCTATATTCTGCACCATTACATTTAACCTTGGAAACCTTTTTCGTTAGAAGTGTTACTTAGAACACTGACATTAAATACAAGTTAATATAATTTTGGGTAATGGTCAAATATTGGCCCTTGGTCTTTCTCATCATTTGTGGCTTTTAAGAAAATTATATTTTATAGGAAAGTAGAAATATCTCTGCTAAATTTTACTAGTTACTAAAAGGAAAATACTTCAGTAGTCAATTTTCATTAATGTTTTCATGGGTTACAAGTGGACTACCTTAGTATTTCTTACCAATTCCATAAATCATAAATTAAAGCAGCTGCCTGATGTTCATGCCATATGAAAGTAGGATATTATATTAAGTACAATTTAATAATGTCCTCCACTTCCTTTTAATCTGTCTATTACAATTCTGCTGAAATAATTAGAAAAGAAATGGTTTGTATATTGCATATATACTTCAAGAAAGATTATATAGATAGCTATTTTTTCTTTTTTTTTCTCCAGTGGCCAAAAGAAGCACTTCTTTCTGTATCAAGAACTTTTTTTATGCATGTTGATCTTGGAAGTGATCGAATGAAAGAGAAACTTTCTGTAATGTGTGTAGACATCCACATGAGTGTTACAGAGATGGCAGAACAGTATTATGCTGAGCTCCGGCGACGCTACTACACAACACCAACTTCTTATTTAGAGTTAATCAATCTTTATTTGTCCATGCTTGCTGAAAAAAGGAAGCAACTGGTTTCAGTAGGTTGATCTTTATTAAAATAATAATAGAATTAAGTATAGAAGTGTGTTTTATTCTCTACCCCACTTTTGTCATATTTCTTTCTATTGTTCTTTGTAGTGAAATATTACTATTCAGTATTAGGAGTGTAGGTATTCTTTCTATTAAATTGGCTTAACTATAATCATCCTTCAATTTATATCTAAATTAACCATGATTGTATAAGAAATTCAGATATCAACATTTCTGTCTCTGAATAAGGCAATCTGCATTAAGGAAGAACAGGTATGTCGCTGGTTTTAGCCATACTTTTCACAAATAACAGGAGTTTTGTGCATTATCTTCCATACAGCTGCTGCTAATCAGTACAGTGAATGACAATGTATTCTGGTCTTCATATGTAGACAGAGCTAGGACTGCAAATTCCATAAGCTTCAAATGTTATATGCAGCAAAGTAATAAGAGGCGTAACTGGATATAGCAGCATGGATGGGAATGTAATTGTCTTCCTCTCAGCGACCTTCTAGATTGGCACAATATGGACTAGCCTTCTTCACTATTCAGATGTCTTTATACCAGTGCTGCCCCCACCACAAACTTTTGGGCATCAGGAACCAGTTCAGTAGAGAAAGGTTTTTCCACAGACCGGAGGGGGCATGGTTTCGCATGCTACCTGTATCCTTCGGGTGGGGCTTCGCTTGTTTCTGAGATGCCTCAGCCTGGTGCCAGTCCATGGACCAGGGCTTGGGACCCCTGCTTTAGACCATTTTGGTTGGAAATTCTGGGAGCTATGGTCTGATTGAGGAGTACCAGTTGAGGAAGCCTACCCAAAGATCTAGTAGAAAAAACATTGCAACAAAATGTCAATTATACTGTGAAAACAAGGTTAACTTTGATAGAAATATTTATTTTCTTTGTTATAAAAGATTTTTTTTTTAGTAAAAGAAATACTAAAATTAGCCAGTCGAGTAATTTCTTTGACATGCTGATTTGGCTATTAAAATGATATATTAAAATATTCATTATTATGGTCATTTTAATCTAACTATGATTATCCATAGTATTACTGAAAACAGCCACCTGCATCAGCTTTTTAAGATAATATCTTTTCAAAGTACTAAAAAAATTATCAATATTTATTTGCTTTATTTTTCAGGCTCGGGATCGGGTAAAAAATGGTTTGTCCAAACTGTTAGAGACAAATGTGCTTGTTGACAAAATGAAATTAGATCTTTCTGCTTTAGAACCAATTCTCAAGGAGAAATCAGTGGATGTTGAGGCTTTGATGGAAAAATTAGCAGTCGACCAAGAAAACGCTGATCAGGTATAAAATGTTATTAATCGAACCTGTGCTCTAGCAAGGGTATGGCTAGCTGATGAGAGCTAAATAGCTTGAAATAGATCTATACTAGTCTCCCTTTATTTATTTATCAGCACAAATATAACAAATGTAACAAAAAGGCAGCAGTAAAAAATATTGGGTTTCTGTCTGGATGGTCTCTTGTGACGAGCCGAAGGACTATATATATATATATATATGTATGTATGTATGTATGTATGTATGTATGTATGTA